GCTTGCGTGTGTGCGTGTGTGTGTTTGAGACCAAGCGCTGGGAACAAACGTGCATCTGTTAAATTTGACAATAACGTCCTACAGCGAAGCTGCCAAAATGGGGGCAGCAGGTGGGGGTGGAAGGCGGAGGGGGTAGGGGAGAGCGGGAGTCGCAAAAGGCCACGCCAAAGCGCCTGGCCCAGGTATTATGTCGGGAGAAGGTGAGCGGAGCAGCTGCTCCTTCTCGCGGGGTGTGTATGGGAGCGAGGATGCGTGTGTCCCTGTGAAGAGTACACACCAATCTGCTCAACATATGTCGCCACAAATCACAGTATCTCTCCCTCCTCCCAACCCCCTACCCCTCCCGCTGACCGAGGGCAGAACAGAGAGAGGCTCTGAGAAGAGGCGCCGCTCCAACAGGTGTCTTGGTGCAATGCACCTTTTCACGCATTCACTGTCTCCGCCGGCGGCTGGGATAATGTGGACACTTTGTTTCCAGGCGCTTTGCGCGAGCTACGGACATCCGGGGGGGAGGCGGCCCTGGGCAGGGAGGGGGATTTGGAAATAAAGACCTCGGGCTCTCCTGAGGTCCCGGGCCCTCTCTTGCCTTTGTTAGAGGGCTGCCTGGGATGGAGCTCCCTCCTACGCCCCGGGGGGTGGCATATGGCGCCCTCTCACCTACCCAAGAAAAAGAACCAGCCACCCATTCAAGAGCGCACAAGGTCTCTGCTCCGGGGGAGGAGTCGTCTCTGAGGGAATGGCTTCTCTCCCAAGGCGAATGAGTAGCCCGTCTTATCTCTCCCCACCCCACCTCCGCCATCCCCTCAGCTGGCGCAGCAGCCGTTGAGTAGGGAGCAGCGCGCCTGGGCAGCACCAGCCTGCGGAAGCGCCCCAGCTCCCGGCAGATGAAATATGGGGCTGGTGAGCCCCTGGAGACCATATGCTTTCAATAAAAGAAGACAAATAGGACCGAGATAGGCCTTGCAATCAACCTGTTATAAATGGGTGGCAATTGGGCCAATGTACACGGAGGCAGGGCCCCCCCGGGGGGGAGGCCTGCTCGGTGCCAAATCCATGTGTCAGCTTCTGGGACAGGTGTGCCCAGGGGCCAGGGGCCAGGTCTCCCCCTCTCTGGGTTTATCACGGCAAAGGTAATATTGTGCTAACTATGAGTAAACAGTCATTGTGAAAACGAGGGAGAGTTTATCAGAGGCAAACTAGTTGGGGGGTGGCTTAACAATAAAGTTGTCCGCCTTGGGAGCAGGTGACGGCTGGCTGCGGGACTCCCGCGGTAGATGTTTTCCAAAGCACTCCACTTTACAATCTCTTGTAATTATTTATTAAACGAAATCTATTTATTATTATTTTAGCAAACACTGGAGACAGGTGGGGCTTTCTTTTCATCGTCTCCTTTTGTTTGAAGGGCTGTTTGAAGTGGCCAGTCTCGGCCCAGGCAGCTCGCTCGCCAGATTTTTGTCTTCCCCTCTTTCAGCGCCTAGGCGAAGGCGAGAGAAAGAAGCCCCCTCCTCTGGCAAGCCATTAGCTATTCAGCTTCCCATGGCCCCCCTCTCTCCCGCTTGTTTCTCAAAGAGCCCCCAGTCACTGCTAAGATTCCCCCCGCCGACAGGAAGGCGGCAGGGCGGACCGCTGCCTTCCTTCTTTTCCAATCTGCCCGCGGTCTCCAGGCGTCAGGCCGTCGCCTGTCTCCTGGGCCGCCTCAGCCTCCAGGCTTGCCCAGGTCTCAGAGAGCAGAGGCGCGCGCGTCTGGGAGACTTTACAGGCGGTGGCTGGCCTGAGGCTTCAGGAACCGGCTCTGCTCCACGCGGGAAGAGCCGTTTCCCAAACACCGGCGGCGCGCACTGAGTTGTCACTGTTTGCGCCTCCGCCGCCAGAAGCACAGGTATTGACTTTGGAGAGAGGTCTGTGCGTCCCCAGCAGCGAGAGGGAGGACGTGGATCCCGGATCTCTAATCCCCCAGGACTCTGTGACCTCCGGCCCTGCCCTCCTGTCCAGAAGAAGGGCTGTCTGCCGAGAGTTGGTGCGTTCCTCAAGGAGACCGCTGCTCCGGGACGCTGCGCGCTCCTCGCCCTATTTTTTTGCGCAAAGTAGTGGTGATTACTGCCTGCAAAGCCCCAGAGAGCCCTGGGCCGGAGCTGCTCCGGGGAAGCTGGATAAGAATTCCAAGTGGGTCCCAGAATTCTCTCCCAGATAAGAAGGTTCTCAAGAATGCCCAGAATCTTACCCTGGTGCAGGAGGCTCACCCTTCCGCTCTTGCCAGTACCCATTAGCCGCTTGCGGCAAAACTGAGCCAAGCCAGTCGCCTTTACCTTTTATGCCTTTTATCTCAGGGCCACTGCTGGACGAGAGTCCTGGTTTCCAGCTGCTCTCCAGGATTCCTGCAACCCGTACGGATGTCTTGATCCTTTATAGCCAGGGCTCACTCCCTGGAGAGGGGCTGGGTCTGGAAGCCCTAGGGAAGCATGCTTTGGATTTCCTGTCAGTTCATAATTTGCAGGATAACAGAAATCAAGCAAGGCAGGTGTATGGGGCAGGAAAGTAGAGAGATGGAACATGGGTGGACGCTGGCTCCTCTTGGCACTGGGAGATGGGGCCCCTATCCCTTTTCTACTCTGACCCTGTCTTTGTCAAAGATACGGGACTTCTATTTTCTGCACTTTGGGGTTCTGGTTTTGCCTTGAAAAAAATATATATTTTCCCCAATCAGGAAGAGGCAGCAGGTACAAGGGTGAATCTACAAGTGAGAGTCTTAGGACCTGAATTCCATGTGGTTCCAGTAGAACTTGCTGTGTGACCTTGGGTGAGTCCCTTCCCCTTCTGGGTCTTGACTTTTCCATCTGCAAAAAGGGCCTTGGGTTCTCATTCTTATGACTAGAAAACACATTTGGAGCAGTTAGTGACCTAAAGAAGGAGCAGTAGCAAAATGTGGAACCCGTGAGTCTCATTCCCTTTGCTGCTCCTGAGCCTGACCCCTAGCTTCAGATGGAAGGCAGAAAAGGAAGGAGCATCTGCTTAAGAGCCCACTGGCTGAGATCTGGAAGACAGCGCCCCCATCCCCATACAGTCCTGGAGCTCTCTCTCCCTGACTCCCAAAGTATCCATCCTCTCCCTGCCCAGGAGTTAACTGTGCCCTCCAAGCAGCTGGGGCGGGTGTGGAGAGGCAGTCCCCGGGGCAGATCCGCAGACTTACCTCCTCCCTTCACCCCATCCCCTCAGTTTCCCAGCCGGGTCCAGCGCCCCTCCGCCAGCTTCCGGCAGGCACTGCCTATCTGCATCTGCTGGAAAGTAAAGCCATCGCAGCCTGCGGAGATGTAATGCGGGCCCCACCCTTCCCACCCTCGGCTCCCCCTCCTCCCCACCAGACACGTCCTGGTCAAGAGAGAGCAGCGGAAGCCGCGACCCCTCACCCTGAGTGACCGGAAGCAGAAGACCACGGGGTGTCCGAGGCGGGGACAAAAGGGAAGGGCGGGGAAGGAAGGAGGGAGGATGCATTCAGTGTCACTTTGGAAAGATTTCCAGACAGCGATAACAGGGGACTTCAGAGTCCCTGCCCGGTGCTCAGGGCCGGATTCCGGCCCAACACTGCGGCACTGGCTGGTCCAGTGAGTGCCAGCAGTGCCTGCTCTCCTGTGATCGGGCAGGAGGATGGAGGGGAGGAAGACGGGATCTGCTTCTCGCTGGGCCAGCAAACCTCGGGCATTTAGAAGACAAGGCCTGACCTTGAGCTCCTGGCCCTCTCCTGACCCATCCTCACCTGGGCCCTTCCCCATAGGCCCTGGCCGAAATGTGAGGGGGCTGTCCATGACTACTAGTGGTGGAATGTCACCAGAGGTCCCACCATGGCCATCTCCGGTTCCTGAAAGGAGATTGGGGGTGGGGGGAGAGGTTCTAAGTGCCTCATCTCCAGACACGGTGGTGGGAGGTGGGGTAGGGGGGCTCCTAACCCCGAGGGAAGGTCTCTAAGTGGCAGAGACATATGCAGAATCACTCTCTCTGTGGTCGCCCTGTGCCCACCTCCCAGCAAGGAGAGGGTCAGGGAAACATCACCCAGTGTGTGTTTCCTGGCCTGCCTGAGGGCAGGAGAGCAGGGCAGCAACTGGAGTTAGGGGCACTCCTCCAAGCGAGTAGTCACAACACTTTGCTCCTTGTCCTATCTCTGGCGGAGAGATTTGGGGCGAGCCGCCACCTTCTCTGAGCCTTAATGTCCCCGTGTGTAACACGTGGAAATTAACCAACCCTATAGGCTTCCCAAAGCCCTCTGTGGGGTACCAAAAAAGGGTTTGGACAGATGCCAAGGAAAGACAGAATAAGAGCAAAGCGGTCTGGGACGGCCAGACGGGAGCCAGACGAGGCTCTTCTCACTGGGCGAGGCTCTTTGAGGAACCGAGAGTTGCTGGGATGGAGCCCGCAGAGAGGAAAGCAAACAGAGTGGCGCTCCCCTCCCCCGACCCCGGCCCTTTGTCCGGAATCCAGCTGTGCCCCGCGGGGGAGGAGCGGGCTCGCGTGGCGAGGCCCCCTGGCCCCGGCGCTGATTGGCCGGCGGCTCGGGCAGCAATGGGGCAGGCACGCTCCTGGCTGAGGCCGAGCAGATAAAGCGTGCCAAGGGGCACACGACTTGCGGCTCAGAAAATCCGAGTGGTCTCGCAGCCGCGCCTAAGATAGCAACGGTGGCCCGGGACCCCCTTTGCGTTTCGCTTTCCTGGAGCTGGGGAAACTTCAGGCAGCGGCGCCTTCTCTCAGCCGGGCTTGCAGACGAAAAGGCCAGCTCATCTCACCAATTGCTCTCGCTGCCCACCCCCCGCCCTGCTCTCTACCCTTTTGCGCGTGAGAACAAGGTAACACCTGGAGGCCACAGAGCGAGGGCTGGAGGGGGAAAAGGGTCCTCTGATCCGGCGGGAGGGGGAGGTGGCTCTTTCTGGGCTTTTTCCCACTTGGCTCCGGGATAGGGAACTGCGCTAGGGTGTTGGACCCACGCTTACCCCGACCTCTTCCCCTGCTGCAGGATGACGCCTCATCCCTCGGGTGCGCCAGCTGTCCAAGTGACCCAGGAGACAGAGCAGCCCTTCCAGGGCGTCTTCGACGACGAAGTGATCTGCGTGGCGTCGACTCCGACCAGCCCAGCTCGAGTGCGGGGGAACTGTGCCGACGAGGAAGGGGGTGGCTGCCGAGGGGCCTCGAGGAAGCTCCGGACGAGACGCGGGGGGCGCAGCCGGCCCAAGAGTGAGTTGGCTCTGAGCAAGCAGCGACGGAGCCGGCGCAAGAAGGCCAATGACCGCGAGCGCAATCGAATGCACAACCTCAACTCGGCCCTGGATGCGCTTCGCGGCGTCCTGCCCACCTTTCCCGACGATGCCAAGCTTACCAAGATCGAGACGCTCCGCTTCGCGCACAACTACATCTGGGCGCTGACGCAGGCGCTGCGCATAGCAGACCATAGCCTCTACGGGCTGCAGCCTCCCACACCGCCCTGCGAGGAGCTGGGCTGCCAGGACGGCAGCTCTCCGGGAGACTGGGGCTCCCTCTACTCCCCGGTCTCCCAGGCGGGCAGCCTGAGCCCCGCCGCCTCGCTGGAGGAGCGTCACGGGCTGCAGGCACCTGCCTCTCCTGCCGGTCTGCGCCCCAGCGCCCTAGCTCTTTCAGACTTCCTATGAAGGAGCCTGTCAGCCGCTGGGTGGTGGGTGCTTGGCTGTGGGTGGGGGGCCACAGAGGCAGTCAGGGACCCACCGGGGCTGCAGCGGCCCCAGGGTGAACTTTCTCCTCCAGTCTCCGGCTCCCTGATGGGGGGGGGGGGGAGCCTAGGCGCCTAGGAGGGTAACAGCTGGGTTCAATTCCCGGTTCCTCTTCACAGCGCCAGCTTCAGCCCTCTGTTTGCTGCCTGCACAGGGGGGGATTGCAAGCTCTGCGCACTCCCCTCCCTGCAGGCACCCCAAGTCTCTGGCAAAGGCACCGGGGATTGTGGCACTAAGCAGCTGGAAACACCCTCTGTTTCCAGCCATCCTACACTCACTCATGTCTGTCAGTCTCTCTTACCAACCCTCCACCAATGTGATTTAATCCAGTATTTGATCTCTCACCGTTTGCTCTCTTCTCCAAAGACGCTGCTGACCTTCTCCTCCAGTCCCTATTAAGTGCTGGTTTCTGGCCGTTCTGATGCCTTACTCCACGGAGGGATCCTCTGCCTTCTCTCGAGCACTTTTTGGAACCATTGCGCTCCTGGGGGAGGGAGACCAGGCTGTGAACTGGGAAAGAGATTGTCTGCCTCCGGAGTGTCTGTCCTGCTTCCCTGTGAGCTGAAGCGCCCCTTTAAAAAAGAAGAAGAAAGAAAGAAAAGTCGTCTTTAAAAAAGAAGAAAAAAGAAAATATCAGCCTGTAAATTATATGGTATCTTTTGAAGTGAATTTTGATACGGTAAATTATATGCCCCCCTCCTTTACACGTTTGTATTTATTGATGAGATTTCACAGCAGGGGGGAAAGTCTATATTTTGTACATAAGATTATTTAGAGACTGGTGAATGAGATTTTGAGCCAATAAAAAAAAAAGTACCCTGAAGAAACCTCAGTTAGGTAACTCAATTACGCAGAGGGGAGGGTGACAGCCTCTGGCTGGGGTGGGGGTGGACCTCAGTCCAAGGAGAGGGGGTCTGGGCACCTTCTCTGATTTGGGCAAAGAAACTGTGGCGCTAGGCTGGTGGCAGAGCAGATTGCGTCCTGAGAGCGAGTCAGCTAAACCCGCATGGAAGGTAAGAGCTGGAAGGCTCTTAAGAAATCATTGGTCCAGTTCCCTGTTTTATTTATAGGGCGGCTACTTGTCATATTCCAAATAGTGGTTTAAATGAAAGACAAGTTTCCAACTAGGGCTACTTGCTGGCCCTGCTGACCTTTCTCCTACGCCACTAGCCTGGATTTCGAGCAACTGTTGAATGTGGGGAGGAAGAGTAATAGCCCAACCATAGGGTCAGAGCCTTCAGAACCATGGAACGTGAACTGGGCATCCCAGGAATTTTCCCAGAGTGCTTAGAGAGCTAGCCCGTCTTCTGAGCGCATTTTATGCATCGGGTTCTGGGAGGGTGGCATCCTGATGCATGGAATTGAGCAGCGGCGAGCGGAGAGAGTGGAGATTCCTGCTGAGATCTCTGGCACCCCTGGTAGCCAGCAGTCTTGATAAAAAACTTACCAAGAACCTGTTCAAGGTTTCCAGCCACTCTTTACTCCCAAGGTAGAGTTGTGCTGGTGTGCGGCAGGGACTGAAACTTACCCCAGGGGCTCTACTGGAGCGCCCCTAAATGGCTTGCGGGACCCTGTACCTCCGGAAGCCGACTGAGGTGTAAGAATTCCCAGATCCTGCCTGATGGGAACAGGAAAATGGAGGGTGGGCACTCTATTCTGTGAATTGAACCCCGGACACCTTTTTGGATTGGCGGCAGGAAGGAAAGGGCCAAGCCCAGGTGAGTGTGGTGGCCGCCAGGGGCCGGGAGCCAGACCTTAGGTAGCTTTCCAGTTAGAGCACAAAGGTAGAGTCTTACCCGGGGTTGACGCCTTTTGCGTCTCTCTCTTTTGCCCTCCCAGCTTCCAATAGAACTTTTATTCTCCTCTATTCCCAGGAAAGGTAACTCTGAGGAAATATGCCTCTGGATTTGGGGGAGGGGAAAGGGATGCACAAACAAAAGAATGAACGAAGGTGTTGTCTCATTTCATGGCTTTAATCTGGGAGGAGATTAATTGGTTATTGGTGACTTCTGCAGCAGCCAATTTCCACCTGGGGCACCACACCGGGACAGGTGTCCACAGCTCCTAGTTGCATGGACCAAGCCAGTGCCTGTTACTTTCTGTGCCTTTAGGGGAAGAGCATGGAGAGACAAAAAGCAAGAAGATCCATTTCTGTCTTCCCAGGAAAGCAACAAGTATACAGACAAGTATACAGCCAAAATTATGGGTGGTAGGTAGAGGTACAAGGCACAGGATGGAGGTGGGGCTGCTGTTACCTGGGGCTGGACTGGGAGGCTTGCAAGAGAAGGGGGCATTTGGGCCAAGGACTATATGTTTAGAGAAATCCTTAAGTACGAAAATCCTTCTTTCTGTGATTCAAATAGGCAGGGGACTCCCTCGGTGCAAAGGACTCCCTGAAACTCCAAAAGTGTTGTTGGCTCCATGTTCCAGGTTGAGGCTCCCACTGCCCAACCCCCTCCTACCTTTGAGGGTACTCGTTAAGGAGCCATTAGTCACCAAACACACGCAGACTGGTCCTCCGCCCCACAAATTAAAAAGAAAGAAAAAAAAAAAGTACTGTTTAACCAACTTGACTGCTGGGCTGCCACCTTGGGTCAGGGGTGGATTTGACCCCGGAGCTGTCTGCCAGCTCTACTCTCCAAGTCAAGAGGAAGCAGAGAAAGGTTTGGGTTTGCTTGAATCACTGCAAAGTTTAGGGCTCCCTTGCACAGGGTGAGCGCCATCATTGTGTACGGAATTGCACTGAGATGGGAGACTTTGTCCATGCCTCTTTCCAAAGAGCCACTCACCAAGAAGGGCTCAGAAACATTCCTGTGAGTGGTGCAGACAACTAACTCCCAAAGCCTCACTATCACCACACCCCGTCCTACCCCCAAGCCCTCATGGGCATTTGGCTTTCAGAGGCTTTTAAAATCAGTCAAGCTGGTCTCAGTCTTGGCTGGCAGCCCGCACTCGGAGACTAAGCCTCACTCGTAATGGTGCGGAGCCTCCCACAGTCTGAGGTCATCGCCTGCACCTCAGCTCTCTGAAATCCGGGCAGGCTCCTGTGCAGGGCCAGGAAAGACCCTCGGGTCGAAAGGCTCTTACCCCTTTTCTGCCTTTGTCTGAGACCAAGACTGACTTCCAGAAAAACGGCACATGAATTTTGTGCCCCTGCCCCACCCCCATCCGTGCACACAAGCAGGTAGATTTATGGTGCCCTGCCCCCATCCCACTCCATCCCCAAGCCGGCCTCCGTCTGGAGACAAAGCATCCCGGGGCCATTGGAATGCTAATGTCTGGGAGCCTTGCAGCAGGGCTGGCCCAAAGGCAGGAGGGGCTGGGGGCACACGAGCCCCCACAGGCGCCCTTTGCCCCTCCTCTCCTCTAAGGGCCACTCTGCCTGGCTGTGTGACCTTGGACAAGTCCCTGAGCCTCAGCTAATTCACTGGAGAATATGAAGGGAGTCCTTAATATGCTTTCACTGGATTTCTGGGTGCCTAAGAGAAGACAGTGCTTATGGTGGGTAGAGTTACAGGCTCCCCACAACCAGAATGGTGGAGAAGACCCTTTGGCCTTGGCAGTGGGGACACTGTGGGGAGGGTGTAAGGGAATTTGGCTAAAAATATGTTATGGAATAAGTGCTGAGTATATTATAATTACATTTTTGCATTTACATGATTAATATTCTCAGTTGTGTTTATTTTCCTGCCCCCATCCTTTTAAAATACCTTCAGGCTGTGCTCAAGAAAAGGAAGAGAGCACTCACTAACTGTACCTGCCTGCTCCGCCTTTGAAGGGCCAAGAGCACAGACAGTGGGAGATTTGAGGATGGACACTTCTTATCTTAGGTCCCTTCCTACCATTGGTGAGGAGGACAAGGCGGGATGTTCACACCCATAGACACAGATACCTAAAGTCTTAGAAAAGTTGGTGACTTCCTCAGGCCCCCAGTCACTGGGTGAATCGCTGAAGCAAGCTAGGACTATGACCTGGTTCTAGGCTCTGTGCTGTTTAGAGCTCTGTGCTCTAGGCTGAGATGGTTTGTTCCTGCTTTGGCTCTAGCTGGGTCTTCTGGGTCTTGTAAGGCCAAAGGCTCCCTTGCATACTTGCCTTTGATCCCACCCCCATTCTCTTCCAAGGTCCCAGGCTGTTCTTTCTGCCCTCTCTGCTTCTGGGATCCGAGGGCCAAGGCAGAAGCTGGGGGCGCGTGATTGGGTACGGACTTCCGTAGACCGGTGCTCGCCTCTGACCATGGTGCTGAAAGTACCGTGTTCGTTCAGAGCGGGAGACGTTCCTGGCAACCCAGTGTTCTCAACACGGAAAACCATCTATCGACCCTGTCCACGTTTCTAGACCGCGGTCTCTAGGGAGCCCCCTGTGGATATGTGTAGATCCAGAAGAATGTCAGGTTTCCTTGGCGTGGTGGGGAAAGGATGGACTCTGTTGCTGTTAACTGACTGTGTGACCTCAGAAAGGCCCTTTTTCCTCTAGGCCAAAAGGCTCTCCTCTGTAAATGATGGAGTTAGAATCAGTGACTGTGTTAGGGACTTCTGACAGCATCTGAGAGGTCTGAAGTGAAGCAACATTGGAAGTGTAGGCTGCAGCACCCCTAACTGGGAAAACTGGTTTGGAACTTGGCCCTCAATTGGAGTCTCATTCTTCAGGTTACAAAGAGCTTTTAGTTATTCCGAGAACAAAGGCTTAAGGAAGCCCCCCAGATGCGTACATAGGATGGCAGAGTGGTTAAGAACACTTAGCTCTTCAGAATTGCACAGACATTGTTTGAAGCCTGGTCCTTCTACTGGTGGTTTTCAATAACTGTGAATTTGGGATGGTAAATAGTGACTGCCCAACTGGACTGGTTAATGTGTTCACTTTTAGTGCAGGCAAAGCTGCCATAGATGGTAATTATTACCATTACCATCTTCGTTTGTCTCAAA